CCCATAAAAGAGCATTCTTTCTAACCCTAGACAATTGGAGAGTGTCGGGTCTCAAACCCCAAAAACCCCCCAGCCGGCGAATGCTGGCTGGGGAATTCTGGGAGTTGAAGTCCGGACATCTTCAAGTTGCCAAGGTTGAGAAACACTGTGCTAGAGTTTGTCTTATAATGGATGGATGTTTTTTATTATAGTGAATGTGTGCAGATGTGTCAGTGACAGGTGTTATGTGGAAATCGACAATCCAAATCCATCTCCAACAGTAGGAGCAACAATTGGCATACTTGTTGGTGTTCTGCTAGTTATAGGTAAGTGTTTGTATTAAATACAGAATATGGACTAAAAGAGCTTGAAGGGACCTTGGAGGTCTTCTACTCCAACCCCCTGCTCATGCAGGAAACCCTATATTATTAATTGATATACCTCTCAAGAGATGAGTTAATGTCTATGGGGCTTATATAGAATAGAATAAAATAGAATAATAGAGTTGGAAGGGACCTTGATGGTCTTCTATTCCAACCCCCTGTTTAGGCAAGAAACCCTATATCATTTCAGACAAATGGTTATCCAACATCTTCTTAAAGATTTCCAGTGTTGGGGCATTCACAACTTCTGGAGGCAAGTTGTTCCACTGATTAATTGTTCTAACTGTCAGGAAATTTCTCCTTAGTTCTAAATTGCTTCTCTCCTGGATTAGTTTCCACCCATTGCTTCTTGTCCTGCCTTAAGGTGCTTTGAAGACTAGCTTGACTTCCTCTTCTTTGTGATCAGTTTGATAATAGTAGGATACACTGTACTTTGTCCCTTTCCTGGAGATGAAATGAGAATTCTTGGGGAATTTGAAAACACTTAAAGTAGCCAGGATGACTGATGGCGCTGTTAAAGAATTTGCCCTTTCAATATATGAATAAAAAATAATAATATTTAGACTATAGATATGTTTTATACAGATAGAACTTGTGAAAATAGATTGAGTTAGCCAAGATCTGGATTTTTAGAGGAAAAATATTTATAATTCATGAATTACATAAAACAGGTTTACTTTAATATTTGCCTGAGTGGTAGATCCAGTTGCCAATTCCATGTCTGAAAGCAAGAACGACCATAGACTCATTTTATTGTATTTTTTGGCCAGGAACTCTTGAAATCATCAAGAGTTACAAGAAATAAGCAAAAGCAATGAGCTTGAGGGCCCGAGACCCCAATCTTGAAAGCACTTCATTTGAAAAAGGAAAATATTCATATTTTTTTTCAATCTGGTTTTGTCTTGTCTTCGTAGGAACTCAGAACAGGAAGCTGCCAGCAGCGTAGTTAGGTCAGAACAAGATTTACTCACTTGGCAAGGAAGGCTGAAAGCAGATCCTAAAGAGAAACCATAGTTAGATGCAGAGGATGTGGTTAGGACAGTACCTAAAATCTTGCTGCATCTTGCGTTGAGGGACAAGCAGAGGTCTATATGGTATATGGGTCATGCTAAGGACATGGGACGCAGTGGCTCAGTAGCTAAAATGCTAGCTTGTTGACCAGAAAGGTCAGCAGTTCAATGGTTTGAATCCCTAGCACAGTGTAATGGAGAGAGCTCCTGTTACTTGTCCCAGCTTCTACCAACCTAGCTGTTCGAAAGCATGTAAAAATGCAAGTAGAAAAAATAGGAACCACCTTTGGTGGGAAGGAAACAGCGTTCCGTGCCCCTTCGGCATTTAGTCATGCTGACCACATGACCACGGAGATATCTTTGGACAGTACTGACTCTTCAGGTTTGAAACAGAGATGAGCATCGCCCCCTAGAGTCGGGAACGACTAGCACATATGTGTGAGTGGAATCTTTACCTTTACCTAAGAACACCTGAAGAGCACGATGTCCACATGTACTTACCATGCTGAACCGCATCACTTACACACATGCTGTATCAATAAGAAATTTGTAACCAACCATTTTATTTCTGTTTTGAATTTCCTATGTCCTGAGGCATAAAAATAGAATGGCAGTCCTGCTCACTGTTTCCCCCAGCTCTTTGCTAACAGAGAGACCCTTATTTTTTATCATAAATAAAGAGATATATTTTCACTTTCCTCAACCCTGCAGTTATTGTGCTGGGTAAATGATTCACAGTTTGGCTCTTAGCCAATCGAGAAATGCAGATAAAATAACTGCAATTCCAGAACACAGCGCTAGTATTGTTGACCCTGATGACACAGTATTCGTGCAGAAGGATCTCCTTGCCTCAGGTATTTGCTGAGTCAGGGATTCAGAGTCATGGGAAGTCACCAGGAAAAGCACCCAAGATCCCAAGTCATCCGAGAACATGTGGTGTCTTTAGGAAATCACCCAAAAGAACGTTAGCTATTTCTGGCAATTTCTACTTCCTCTTATCTTATCTATGGTACAAATCTGGGTAAATCTGGCACAACATTATAGTGCTGTGATGGCAAATCTATGGCAGGCCTGCCAGAGGTGGCACGCAGCCCTCTCTGCTGGTACGTGCATCGTCGTTCCAGGTCAGATCTCCGTGACATTTCTTTCGTGAGCTTCTGTTTCCCTAAAAACGACAAAACAAAAGCTCACAAAGGAAAAAGATCTTACCTCTTGCCGCACTGCCGGTGTTGGGATGCCCTGCCTCCTGCCAGCCAGTTGATTTTTGGATCTCTGCTGCGCATGCACGCATGTCCGTGCATGCGTGCGCACCTTTCAGTTGGGGCATGGGTGCGTAGTTGGGGCATGGGTGCGCAGTTTGGGCACTTGGTGTCTAAAAGATTAGCCATGACTGCTATAGTACATCTGTCGTGGTGGATGTTTGCATGACATTGTCCTTTAGCCACTATCATAAGGTCTGCATAAGTTCTGGACTCCTGGGAAGTGTTTGGCAATTACTTTACTAGGTAATTACTAGTGTAAGCTGCCATTCATGAAAGAAATGGTTACACTGATGAAATGGTACTAGTAATTTGGGCCTCCAAAATGGCCTTCACAGTTGTGCTGGTTGTAGAAAAAAATGACAGATGCTGATTTCCATGGAAGGATTACTGCTCAGTTGTAGAACACAATTGTGTTTGTATGAGGACAGTTCCAGGCCCACTAGGCCCTTGCAACTTTGGTGAAGAAGATGTTATGCTGTAGTTTTCTTACTGATCAGGTTTGATTCTGCTTAGCTTTTCAAGTTTGACTGCCTCCTAACTAGGTTCATGTTTAAATTAAGAACAATAAAATAAAATTACCTAGTTGTAATAAATTTTCTAAAAACAGAGAAACACACCACTATATTTGGAAGCATTAAACTGATCATTGAGAGTTGACTTTATATGGTTACGAAAATAACCATATAAAAGATTCTGAGCTTTGTCTGGAGAATACAATGTACTTAGGCAATATATGAACCCATTCAAACCCTGATTTAAGACCATATTATAGTACATTTAATATATGATTCTTAGGAGACAACACTCATTGATATCATTTAGATTAATCCTAAGTGATTGTTAATAATACAATACAATACAATACAATACAATACAATACAATACAATACAATANAAATCAATCCGATGACCAGTGTAACTCAGCGTCTTAGCCACTGAGCCAGTGCGCCCCATTTGAAGAAATATAAATATATAAGTAAATATAAATAAATCAATAACTGTAAATCAATCCGATGACCAGTGTAACTCAGCGTCTTAGCCACTTAGCCACTGAGCCCCATTTGAAGAAATATAAATATATAAATAAATATAAATAAATCAATAACTGTAAATCAATCCGATGACCAGTGTAACTCAGCGTCTTAGCCACTGAGCCCCATTTGAAGAAATATAAATATATAAATAAATATAAATAAATCAATAACTGTAAATCAATCCGATGACCAGTGTCCTGGGGGGGGGGATGTTGCATGTGATTCCCCCTTTTGCCACTTTTGGACAAGCAAAGTCCAGGGAGGGGTGGGAAGCCCGGTTCACTTAACAACCGTGTGACTCATTTAACGACTGCCCTGATTTCACTTAACAGCCCCGGCTCTTAATTAAAACGGGGTCCGAACTCACTGAACCAAAATATCTGGCTTGGAAATGTTTGGGCTCAGTCGAGCCGATAAGTAAGTGAAGGCCTAACTTTACTCTTACTCTTATCTTACTCTTAGGAGTACCTAAGCGCTCCAGTTCTACTTGCTTGCCTTTTTTGGCATTTGGTTAATGTGTTCACTTTTTCTAGAAAATTGAACAAACTCAAAAGTTTTGCAAGTGGGGGGGGGATTCCCCGCGCGCGCGCGCACACACACACACACACACACACGATCCGACGACCAACCCCACCCCGCGGGGAGGGGTTTGCACGGCCCGCCCCCGCCCCACCCCGCAAAAATCCCCGAAGCTACGACTTCTCTTCCTCCTCCTCCTCCTCCGCCTGGTTCTGCCAAAAGCGACCTCCGCCGTCATGTGAGTTCCCTCCCGGGGGAGGGGGTCTTGGGGAGGGGGGATGCTTTGGGAAGAGGGGAGGGGGCGCTTCTGCAGGCTTCCCCCCCCTCTTTTTTTTTTTGGCAAGTCCGGGAGCCAAAAGTTCTCTTGCAAACTCTCTTTTGCAACCGGGCGCCCGCCGCCTCTCCTTTCCTTGCCCCCCACCCCAAAAAAAGCCCCTCGAGGGGTCTCAGGGGGTGGGAGGGGGCGAAGGGAAGCGGAGTTAGAAGGGGCGGGGGGGGGGACTCTAGGCAGACCCGTGGCCGGAGGGGGAAGGCCGAAATTTGCGGCCCTTTTGAGTCTAAACTTTTGAGCCCATTTCTTGACTTTTAATGCGGAGCCGGTCTGACTCCGGATCTGTTGCAACTACGTATTTATTTTGTGTGTGCGTGTGTTTCCCCCCCCCCCCCGAAAGGGCTGACTTGCAACTTGGTTGCAACTAGTTGCAA